GGGGGGGGGGGGGGGGGGGAGTTTAAGGGTTCGCAACTCCGAGGAAAAGGAAGGCTTTCCTCTATTGCGCTGCAAGGCAAGTGGCAATTTCCATGTCGTAGTAGATGCACGCCTTGGCACTTCGGTCGGATGGCATCAGAATCCAAAAAGAAAACACTTTAACGTGAAGCAATGCGGACATCTTGCTGTTACCTACGGGGATGAAAGCGGTGTTTTGTTTTGTCATATTAAAGCTGGCCATCACTCGTGGCCGCGAGCATGTCTATCTGACATATGTTCCTCCAACGTCCAGCACAGTACCGATAGTTTCTCACAAAGTTTATCCGACTGGCCAGCTTCGCGCATCCAAGATGCCGGGTGATGGTTCAGTAGATTCCCATACACGTCATAGCCGTTGAAGATGACCTTGCATTGCCGGGATTGGGTTTTTTTGGGCTGAACTCAGAAGCCTGGCTACTCTTTTTTGTGCAGGTTGCTGGGATATGGGTACTATGAACTTGTACAGGTTTTACACTTTAAAGAACAGTAACACGCTTTCCAGGGACCAGGACACTAGGAAAGGAACGGGAAACATCACACGAGGCACGTTCTGCTTGAGATCAGAAGCAAGACATATCTACACTTAATCTATGTCGGACCCCCTGCACCTGCACACCTGCAACCGCTAAAACATAGAACACTATGAACTGCAGTCCTTGTGAGCCCAAGCGATTTGTTCAACCCCCTTGTGTCATCAAGCCGGCTGTCATCATTGACCCTGAACAGTACAACCTCTGTACAAAGCCAGAGCGTTCACAACCTGAAGTGTTCCTGCGAAGCGGCCAGCCCAGACAGATCTGCATAGAATACTCAAGCCCTTGGCATATTCTGAAAGCCATCTAAGACCGCATCAAGCCCTTACTCTATAGGCTCTATAGTCCCTAAGCCCTTGCAACATCCTACAAACCATGCCAAGACCTGAAACACCTCTAATCCTAAACCCTGGCCCAACCCTAGAGGGGTTCAAAGTCAGGAACTTCGCAGGACCCAGCCTCGATGCTGAGGTAAGGGATAGCGGCAAGCCTGAGCTCGGTCTATATGGCTTATGGGGTTAATTATATTACAGGGTTTTGGGGGTTTGAGGTTTTAAGGAGGATTGAGGGCGGTTGTAACCAGGATGCAAGCAAACCGGGTCGAACAAATCTTTTGTAGATTTTTGGCGGGTCTTTGGATGCAGGGGTATAGCATTCCCGTGCAGAGCCTGCATGGGCCTTGACCGCGCCGGAGTGCCGGGAAAATTTTCGGCCCCCAGTTGATAGACTGCTAAGTGTAGAGGATCTTAGCGGAATTTCAGCACCGTGAACTTGTGAAGCCAAGAATGACCTCCAGCTCGGCGAACTCGTGCTGTGATCCGCAAGCTTGACAGATTGGATCGCGAAGATATGTGGTCTGGTGTCCACGCATCTGCTGCCAGGCCGTGCCCGCGCTTCACTACTAACCGGAAGAGAGAGTGGCAGCTGCAAATGTCTAGCTATTCGTCAGTTGGCCCGGTAGCAGCTCCCCCTCGCGCCCTTGGAGCGCCTGCAGAAGTGAGGGTGGATTTGCAGCGAAAGCCAGCACCAACTCCACCACAGCCGTTGGCACCGACTCCCCGCGAGCCCAGGATCGCATGGCCTGGAAGAGCCCGAAGCCTGCAGAGCTTGCGGCGCGTCGGACGGACGCCTGCAGCGCCGTGCGAAGGGCCTCGGCTGCTGCCGCCTGGCGCTCCGGGAGCGATGCGATGCTCTCGGCCCACAGATCTGTAATTCGAATTTGAAACGAGGTCCATCCACAGAAGCCACAGAATTCGCACACACGTTCGTCCTCCCACACCAGAGGCGTCGCTTCAAGGCTCGCCTTCAGCGTATCCTCTGTCGCCTCAATGTCCATCGGCCCACAGAGTCGGGCACAGTCGCTCTGCCCAAAGAGGATCGCCACGTCCAGCAAGGAGAACAGGAACCACCACGGACTGCTGCCACATCGCTGGCAGCGGCAGGAAGCAGCCCGCGCCCGAGACGAGCTCAGTGCGAGGCCGGCCTTCTTGGCCCGATGCAGGCGCTCCCAGCTCAGCCTGACTTGGCCGCCGGAGCACTCCACGAAAAACTCGGCCATGTAGTTGTAATCTTCATGCGCTGGCCAGGGCCCGAGCTGCAGTTGAAGGCCTTGGACTCGGTGCCAGAGCTCAGCGTCTGCGGAACGTACGATGGCTTCCGCCAGGGACACTTCGCTCGCCCACGAAAAACTGTTCAGATGCTCGAGCTCCAGGCCGCCGGCCAGAGCGGCAAGCAAGACGTCCTTCTCCCGAATCTCTGCTCGAAGCTGGAGGTTATCTTCCATGATCCTCACAAGCTCCTCGCCTCTCCAGCGCCTTAGCGGCCAACGGGTGCAGTGCTGGGCGCAGCATCTCGCCAGTTCGGCATCCCCGATGAGGATGGCAACATCGAGAAGGTAAGCCATGGCTTCAGCCGTGGCGATTCCTTCAACAGCCGCCTGGGAGCGAAAGGCCTCCAGCAAGGCACGAACCAATGGCTTTGCAGCGGCGCTTTCCGCGGCGCTTTTGGCATCCTGGAGACTCGCATCCCAATCCTCCATCCAAAATCCTTCAGCCGCCGAAAAGCCCCAACTGCAGCTTTTGCAACTACACCAGCCGCTGCAGTTGCAACCAGGACCAGCAGCACTGAAGTTTTCTAATCGATATTCATAATGTGTAAACACAGGAAGTTGAAAGCTGCGGGGACCTTTGAACACGCACCCCGACACACCGTGTTCAAGCATCGCTAAGGCGGTGCTCTGGTGGCCGAAGTGACAGCACAAGTCGAAGAGGTGCTTGGAGTCGACGTCCTGGCTCAGGATCTCCACCTCTCCGACCAACAGGGCTTTGGCCATCTGAAACTCGTCCACATCCACGATCTGCGCATTCCGGTCACGATGGACAAATCTCTCTGTGGACATGGGCTGGTCACTTTCAAACATAAACGATGGATGCTGGTGGAACGTACTACAAGCGACGGATGCAACTTCAATGCCCTTCTAGGCGCCCGCCTAAAGCACCGATGACCGATGTCGTGTTATGTGCGTGCTGCATGCGTCCGATTGCACATGCATCACGATGTTGGTGGGGTTCGTCCAAGATCATGCTTAAAGCTTAAACCGTCGAAGCCCTACCCTGAAGCTGAAAGACCATGTGTGGCTGCAATTGGGCACCAGTTGCCCACATGGAGCACCATAGTTGGTTGATTTCTGTACGTCCTCTGCAGCATACCTATGTTTCTATCGACCTGCCTACCTGCCTACATAGCTAGCTAGCTATCTACTTGATCAATCCAACCTACTAATCTGTCTTATCTAATTTATCGAGCCCATCTAGTCTCACTTTAATATGTCAAATCTGTTTAATCTACCTAACCTATTATCTGATCTGTCTATCTAAATGATCTAAGTCTAGTCTAATCCATCTCATCTAATCTCGTCTAATCACAATCTAACCTGTCCAATCTCTCTAACCTATCTAACCTGTCTAACCGATCTGTCGGTCCACCTATCTAACTGTCTATCTATCTATCTATCTATCTATCTATCTCTCCATCCTGTTGGTCTCTGCTTCGAGAAGTCGGGTAGCCACTTAGGTAGATCTCCGCTGGGCTAGCCCTTTAAGCGCTCGGAAGCTTTGCTCCTAAACATGATCTGTTTCGACCAACACCCACCCACATGCAAAACGTGTGTAGCTTTACCTCGATGAGACAAGATCTAGATCTTCTTCATGACGAATCTATGTTTGCCTTAACCCCTACAGCTACAAATCGCATAGAACCCTGCACTCTAAATGGCTAAACCGCACAATCCCAACTCCCAACCAACCTAAGCCCTTAACCCGAACGCCCCATAAAGCTGCAAATCCCATGAAACCCTTCGCTGAACCCTACGTACAGTCCTTACTCCCAACCTACAGCATCACCCGGAACCCGCGTCTCATTCGGCGGAGGGCACCCATGTTGCTACTGGACTCAAGTCTAGCCAGACTGGCGGAGGGTACCCTAAACCCTGAACCCCTAAACCCTAAAAGTCCGATCAAATAAAACCCCAAGCCCCGAACTCCTAAACCCCTACGCCCTAAACCCGGTATTATGCGCCCTATAACCCCTGAAACCCTATAGCCCCTAGGAGCCCTCAACCTTCAAAGCCTTAAATCGAGGCAAATCTCTGTCTTAATTAAGCCCTATAAACCCTAAACCCTCTAAGTCCTAAGCCCTATGTATTACATGTCCTGTAACTGCCTACAACCCTATAACCCTGAAAATCTTAAACTGTACCTCCAAACCCGAGCCCCTAAACCCTAAGCCTTAACCCTAAAACCCTTAACGGCCTTAACCTCTAAACCGAGGGGCATCTCCTTTTTGCAAAGCTCGGGCCATGGTGCGACAGGAAGCCTCGCAGTGGTTTCAGGTGGTTTTTTGGCGGGGCCGAAAGAAGGCCTAGAAGGCCTAGGGGGCTAGAAAGGATTTCCGTATGCTTTCTGAAGCTTAGTGGGGATGTTTGGGGCTTGGGGCTTTGGGGGCCTGTAACATCCTTGTAACCCTAAAGCCTAGAGGATAGCATTTTGCCAAATGTTCTAGTTCAAGGATGGATGTGCAACTGCAACTCCGGGCTCGGAGAGAGGAGCAAAGGACGTACATGTAGGGAATGGAGTCAAGCTTTCGACTGCGGCTTCGGATGAGGGTTTAGGGCTTCAGGGTTTAGGACTGACTGCAGCTTCCGATGAGGGCAGGGGTGGTTATGAGCAGAACATGATTCGCACAAGTGTCGTCCACAAAGCCTCTATCCTTTTCGCTCGCCCTCTCTTTTCCGGACAGCAGGGACCACCCTGAGTCAAACAATACTCAACCCTGAACCTTCACACCAAGCCCCACAGTCCAAGCCGGCCTTATAAACCCGCCCCAAACACGAAGCCCAAAGCCCAATCCACTGTACCCCCCTAAAGTCTAAAGCGTAGCCAAAACCTGCGGCCTCGTAAGCTGGTCCATACCCTGCAGATGCTGCTGCCTCCGGCAATCTGGGGGCTACCGGGATTAGGGGTTTACATGCTGACAACTCGGAGATGCCAGAGTTTGGGCGAATCGGGGATTAGGGTTTCAGGGTTTTTGGGGCTTAGGAACAGTGTATGGCTGAGCTGACATTAACTTAGCAGCAACCCGATCCGTGAAAGCCTGCAAGCTTGGAAGCCCTATGGGCAGGCATCCCCAAGCTGGTACAAAAAAGGGCACTCTCCATAACAAAAGCTCCTCATGCACAAATGCAGACCCCAGCATCGACCAATCTGTGCCCAAAGCCCTATAAACCTTAATCCTAACTGAGTCCAAAACCCTAAAAAAAGGCTTTAATCATTAGAATAGGGTTTTGGGGTATATGAAGAAATATAATAAGGAACTTAAGGAACCCCAAAATAATTATTAATTACAGTTAGTAATGATTTAAGTTTCTATATTACACCCCAAATTCGACGACCCTCAACCTTACACCTGCTCCGCAAACTCAGTCTTGCGAAGCTTGGGGCTTGAAACCACGGAAAAGACTGTTAGGGTTCAGGTTTTTTGCTTCCTGCATGGCTGCACATGTCGCGAAGCAGGGATATGGTAGGGGTTGAGGGTTTAGGGGTTGCGGGTTTAGGGTTCAAGTCTTTTGTTGACACCTCTTGTCCACCTGCCTGTGAAGTTGGGTCGAACGCCAGAGCTGGCTGAGGCTGTAGCTGGTACTACACGGGCCCTTACCTATTCGCATTGAACGTACCACCTGTGAAGAACAAGCATAACTATCACCGCCCAGCAAAGACAGGGTTTTAGGGTGTCGGCTTACTAAGGAGTTGGCATCGGGTTTTCAGGCCTACTTCTATTCAGGAGCCCTTTTCCTGCTACTGGACCCTAAACCCGAATAACGTTGTGTTGGTAATTATTTCGAGGCTGTTGGGAATTATTCCGAGCTCTAGATTAAGACGTGACCTCAGACGAGAGGAAACTCAAGTCTCTAGGGCTCATGAGGGCAGCCTCGGGAAGCACGGGGACAAGAAGCACCCTTGCTTCAGGCAAACGTAATTGGGGCCCAGCAAAACATGTGCCCTTTTTGACATAAAAGGCACCAGAAGCCTAATCTGCCCTAAACCCGAAACCCTTAACCCTCATCTGCCGCCACAAGCACCAAATGGAACATTTTAAGGAGGCTTGCCAGGCATCTGAACTGGAAGTCCCAAGCCTAAACCCTATCTTAGACCCTTTTGCAAGGGCTCGTCTAAGGAATTTGTAATCACAGGAAACCCCCCCCAAAAGGTAGGTGCTTATACCTACCTTTGGTCAGTAGGGAATGGAAGAATGGTAGTAATGGTACTTATAATAGTTCCCATTCCTCCATTCCCTACTAACCAAAGGTAAGTATAGGGTTAAGGTAAACCCGGCGCCTGCTAAAGTTGGCTCGCTCCTGGGGCAGGCCAAGGAGTCTTGCTTCGGGGTTTAGGGTTTAGGGGTTTAGGTTTTAGGGCTTAGGGCTTAGGGTTTAGGGTTTAGGGTTTAGGGTTTAGGGGTTTAGGTTTTAGGGCTTAGGGGCTTGCTGAAGCACGCATCGAGCTTCCCGAGAGCTCGCACATGAAGTAGGGCCCCAAACAGGGAGTATAGTCTATATTGAAGTACGGTTTAGATGCAGGGCTCCATGTTCAGGGCCTATGGGGTAGGTACTTTGACATCGAGTGCTCATTCAGGAAGAAGAAGCCCTGGAACTTACACGTGCCGTAAGCTCCAAAGGCAGCAAACACCTCCATTCACCAAAACCGGCCACCCATAGTCCCTAAGCCAAAAAAGACCAAAGCTCCATCAGTCGAACCCAACAGAACAGCTCGAAACCCTGCAAGTCCAAAGCCCCAACGTCTCAAACTTACAGAAACTCACAGCCCCAATCTGACACGCTCAAACTGTAGGGCTTCAGGGCTACAAAAGTCAGTGTCAGGGCCAGCAGAAGCCAAAAGAAAGTTCAAACCAAATACCACTTAGAGAGCATTTCTGTCCAACCGAAACCTTGGGAGCCATACATCCCCCCAAGGCCAGAGTATCTCAAAATCTCCAGGCCCCGAACTTGAACCTGACCACCTGATCTCGTAACTTTCCTGAGGCCCTAAACCTTCTGACTTTCCCCGAGCGAAGCCGCTAAAAACAGCGAGGCCCCATTGCGTCCTGCAAGGAAGCATCCCCTTTCCAATCGGCCAGCACCTCGTGGCCAATTCGCCGCTCAGTGGGAGCGCCGAAGAAGGCTTAAAGCCATGTTGTGTCGCAGAGTCAAGCATCGGGTTTGCAGGGCTCTGAGCCGTTTGACGAGAGGAGTTATAGGGCCTAGGGATGGTTTGAACATGATTGAACCCATACAACCCCAGATCCCAGTTGCACGACTCTGCGAAGAGCCCGGGCACAGATCTTGCCCCC